CACCTGTCCATCGATAAGCGATAATAATTAGCTTTTTTAATTCATCGTGTCCGGGAACAATCGCCGGGTCGGTAATATTTCCAATTATCTTCTTTCTATCGATCGGTAAGGACGAGTCAAAATGGCGGGAGGTGGGAGGAAGGGGATTGTTGTATATATTTATCGAGCTAAAGGGCCTATGAAAAAAAAAAACACACACACGCATGCACCATGAGCGATCGTGAATTTCTCAAAATAACCGTGACACTGAGTGAGGCACTAGGGGCCTCGTGGAAATCGAGCTAAAAAAAATTGTATACGGTCGGTTTCATGAAAAGAAGAGGAAGGGATAGAGGAAGAGAGTAAAATGACTGGTAAAAGATTCACGCGATCTCGCGGTATGAAAGGATGAATACGCACTCACCGGTTTGTTGTCTCGGCTGCGAAGAGAAACACCAACCCTCACCACAGGCGCCGCACCACTACTGACACCGAAGAACCCGAGCGTGGCCCGAGTGAGGCGGCGGGTCGACGCGCATGCGCGTTACGTTGGTTCACCTGGGAACAGATCGGGCAAGCGCCATCTGTTAGGGGGTGGGTGAAACGGACGGTGCGCCGTGTTATCATGGTGGATAATTATGAAAACTGTCGGAATTTACTAAAATCGATTTTCTCGGAATTTCTTTTTCTTTGTTGTATGTAATTATGAAAACTGTCGGAATTTACATAAAATCGATTTTCTCAGAATTTCTTTTCCTTTGTTGTATGTAATTATGAAAAATGTCGGAATTTATTAAAATTGATTTTCTCGGAATTTCTTTTTCTTTTTTGTACCACAGACGAGGTATAGGAGTAGACATTTCATCCAATGTATTTTTTCGGCCCACTTTTCTGGGGTTACGCACCCAATTTCCATTTTAGTGTCACTACCCACCGCAGATTCACTGTTCTCAAAACGTAGAGGTAGCTAAAATCGTAGGCTTTTTAAGGTGTCGGTAATACAGTTTAGGTGGGCCACCAACTCCCATAAGATGAAAGGTTTATTCTTATACCTCGTCAGTGGTTGTACATTTTTCTATTCTTATTGTTACCGTACCCTACATAGCATAACAGACCGCTAATTTCAATTTTTAATGTGGGCATGATTTTCCATCTAACAAATGAGGGAAAGAAATTCTTGTTGAATATTCTTGTTTAAGATGTAACTTTACATAATTGTTATTGCTACTGTCGCCAGTATTAAACAGTTGTAATAGTTTTTTTCTTCTTTGTTATAACTTTATTGAATTTCTGGAAATTCACGTGCATCTGTCATTCCAGTAACACAAACAGAGACTTACAATCGGACTTTCAGCAATGTAATTTAGGTTTGGTCAAGCTAAAAATGTAAGAAAATCGATTAATTTGAACTTGTACTACCATTACTTAATTATTGCTGAATATATTATTGTTATTCACGACTCAACCTCAAAAAAATTTGTAAAACCAAAGAAAGAAGGAAATTCAAAAATAACCCTTACGGTATAGAGTGTTTTATTTTTGCACCGTTCGTAGCGCAACTCGAAATCGAGAAGGATTTACATCATCCATCTGGCCCTGTTCGCCTCTCGTTACGATTCGTTCGAATCTACGAAAAAAATTCGACTGCTTTGAGTACTTCGTTTCGGCAACATTGCTGGTACAAGACACAGTGTCTTATAAATCCTAGATTCCTTTTTGCACAGACCTATCTCGAATTAACGGGGCGTAATATAATTTATTCATATTTCAGATAACAAATGACGCCTTAAAGATGCCCATTTTACGGCTTTTTTAGGTCTAAGACGTCTTTAAGCCGTCTTCAAGGCGTCATGTACTATCTGAGATAGATATAAACATATGTATATACATACGTATATGTGTATGTATATGTCCATATACATATATAACCAACACTTATGCAGTTATATAAACGTAATACTTATAATAACACTATAATAATTATAAAAACGTATACCTTATATGTTTACTCCAAATGAACTATTTTGTGGTCGTACACAATTTACGTATAAACATGTGTACTGTGTTCTGTATACGTGTGCAAAAAGATAATGTAGAATCTCAAATCACGTAAAAGTGTCACATGAATGAAAAATGTATCGATGATTTACCAATGTTTTTTATTTTCAGAAGTTTCTGAACTTTGCATTCTTCTAAGACTTGAGAGATCAACTTATTTATCTTCCTTAAAATGTTCTTCCTGCTCATTTAAATAGATTCTACCAAAACACACTTTTATTCTTGTAATTTTTTTTTAGTTCAATAAAGCCAGATTCACACTAGTTACGGTACGGTCAGATCACGGAAAATCAGGCAGCGGTCTTTATCGTTCGCATATATGTAATCCAATGAGAGATAATCTAATTTCAAATTGATCGTGATCGGACTGTGCCTTTGACCGTTAAGGTCAATGTCCCTATTTCTAATCACGTCCCGATTTCTACTCAGTACGTGTATTTTTTATTTAATGTAAAGAGTTAAATAATAAATTATTTATACGAAAAATTATTTAAATTAATTCAGTATTTCCGTACAAAATGCTACAGCCCGTTGTTCAGTAGATGGCAGATGGCAGCATTTTAATAGAAATAAATGTAATAAATGTGTTACACGTGGAGACTGCGTTTTTACTAAAAGAACTTAAGGAATCTTTAATATTGCTCGCCAAAGTTTGGTTTGGCACTTCCATTTTCGCTGTGCAGAAATGAGGACATTTTATACTTCATATTAAATTAACTATTATTAGGTTGACCTGTTTTCAAAAATACGTTTATTTAAATTTAATTATAAGGGAAGGTTTAATTTTTATATCTAATAAGTTGTTTTTGTCGATTGTTGCATAAATAAATAATAAAAATCAATTTCTGTGATAACAGAACTCTTACACGATTAGAAATAGGGACATTGACCTTAGTGTGAATTTGGCGTAAGCAATCCTGGAATCGTAAAAAATATCATCCCTTAAGTAGAAGATACTGCTCGTTTTGCTAATTGTTTAATGTGATAATTTTCCATGACACACCTTGCACATAGGATATTAATACATGTTTTATATAAATTGGTACATAATAATAATATTTGACAAATTGTTGTAAATAACAATTACTGATTCTGTTTATGTGCCATGTCATGTTGTATCCTGGTGTAGTATCGTGTGTCCAATTTTCTATATGTTTGCTTCGTGTGCTTTGTATATCCATGTAAAATTCCTATGTTTGTACATTTCTACAAACTATACTCGTAACAAAAAAAAAAGAATTGTTTCCTCTGTAAGTATCCCTTCGTTTTGTTAATTCGAGACTGGTCTATACATATACATATGTACACGGCACTATACACAAATGTATACATACGTACGTACCTACATACATACACAGAGTGTTTGATAAACATAATAAGCAAGCATAATTCTTCTATCAATATTCTTATATTAAAAAAATCACTTACTGACGTTTTTATCGATCCATTGTACTACTGATGAAATCACAGAAGACCATTTTCATTTAACAGCATATATAAGAACATAAATTGAATATAAATTGATTATCCAATAATTTCAGTAAATGTTAAGACAATATTCTAAAAGGCAGCATGTATACTGATATAGCATACTAATCATTAGACTGTGGATGTTTATGCAGGATCAATTTACAGAGACTGGAACCAAACAGCAGTTTGTTCGCTGAAATAAAATTTAACTTTATTCCCATATTATTACACTGACAGTGAGAGAGATATGAATGATCATTTCCATTATAAATGCATAAAATCCACAGTCTAGTAATTATGTTGAAGTCAGTGACAAATCATAACACAGGGATTACTCAATCAGTGAGTAATTTCTTCACAAGATTATTAACAAAATAATTACACTTTCATATCATATTTAGTGGGACATTCTGTACAGAAGACATACACAGAACGCTTCGTAAAAGGTGATATATATTTGGAGAATATAAAATTCTTGCACAGAAAATAAGATGACATTTTTCATTGTTATTCAACCGATTTTTACATTAATGAGAATTAATATTTTTATTTTATCGAGACGCGTACTACGCGAATCTCTTTGTTTTAATATTAATTTATTTATCTTAACTGCTTCAACGTATGTCAGATAATAACGAAAGATGAAACAAAAACGGAAATTATTAACCTCAAGTTTATCAGTAAAATTGGGTTGAGAAAAATCATGATTCATCTCCTTTTGTATGTTGGAATTTCTTGTTTGGTAGTTACAATGGACCTGTATGTATATATATATATATATTGCTTTACATTATCAAGCTGATACGTTTAGTTTGGAATTTATTGTAAAATGTCTTTCCGGGACACAGGAAAATAAAAGTGAATTATTTACAAAATCATTTTGAGCCAAACATAAAAAAAAATCTGGCAAACTAGTTACATCGAAAGCATATGTTACATTTAAAACGCACAAGTTACACAAAGTAATTAATTTAACAACGATACCTTCCGAAACAATTACTTAAAATGCTCCTCTCAAAACAGGAAATCTCAGAAACTGAACACTGCATAAAATTGCGGGAAGCCGTAAAAAAAATCGATAGACGTTTTATTTCTCGATTGGAAAAGCAATCACTAAGAAAAAAAATCGAAGAGTCCGAAAAAAAATACTGCAACTAATAAAGGTAACAATAATTATTACAATAATCATTATAATAGTAAAATAATAATTACAATTGAATTATATTTAAATGCTTCAACACCTCTTAAAACAATAACATTCATTCCTTTATTATGCATACGTATATGTATATACACACGTATATACATATATATATATTATGGTTTACATTTCTAAGTGTCCATTCTAATCAACTGATTAAACGATCATTTCATGAAGTCATATTTTTGAACACAGTACACGATTGCTAAACACTTTCACTGTAATCAACAATGGCTTTTTACGTGTAATGTTTCTTATCTTCTGTTCCACGAAAATCCGGATTCTTTAATCATTATTTCACTTGAGTCTTGAGATGTTGCAAAAATTCGAAATAACTCAAGGCAGACTCGAAGCGATCCTCGACTAATCGTTCAATAAAGAGTGTTCTGAAGTGGCTATCATCTCTGAAAATTAAAAACGGGATTGCAAAGTGAGTATTTCGTTCATTTATATATAAAGAAATATGTCAAATTAAATGAAGATTAATTTTAAAATGGAAAATCAATAATAAATCATCATAATGTTAATTCATGGTTAATAACTCATATATTTTTAATCGCAATTTCTCAAACGACATGAACCTTTCGAAGCAAAATTTAACATAGCGTCTTTGACGACATTGGGAACTACTTATAACCTAAAAATTAAAGTTGGTAGAAAATGCTTAAAAACTTCGTATGTCCATTATTATAATCTAAGATGAAGGTCTACTTCGTGTCTAGAGTACCGAGTGACTATTTTTATACTAAACAATCGACTTACCGAATAATTTGTACAGAAACAGGGTAGGGTTTCTCCTCTTGCAAGCTAAATACAAAATTGCGTAAACTTTCGCTTTCGGGGGTCTCCAACTCTGGTAACTCGTACTAAAGGATAAAATAAAGTACATTTTTAAATCAAAAGAATATTGGTAACACGAAGAATTTCAAATTTAGCCTAATACTCACGAATTCTTCCGGTATCGAGGCAAAAGCAGACACCCCGAGCACGTTACAACAGAATGTGGGATGAATATTTTTGCCAATAAGAATCATAATTCGATCGCCAGCGTCCATTAGAAACGCGCCCCTTGAAAATATTTTCTCGGCGGAGAGATGCAGTCTAGGTGGTTGCGGGCAAAGCTTCCCGTCGACATCCTTCACCTCTTGATCCCCAAACGTGTGCACAGGATAGAGATCCGGATATATCATCTGGATCAGTTGGAACAACGGCAGAGTTTTCAGCTGACACATGGCGTAGACTCGATCATCGAGCCTTGTACTCGTTCCTGACCTGAAGGCAATCTATAACACAATATTTCATTTGGTCAGATACAACGAAACCATCCCTAGAATAACTAACCAGCTGGTACTTCTCGAAAGAATTATTTTTCACAATTTACGCTTACACATTTGAGCAGAGAAATAATGTATAGAGGCAGTAGTTTCAGACTTCCTGGAACTAGCAGGTCACCAGTCATCGTTGACTGAGACAATTTATAAGCTGACAACACATCGATAGCCACATTTATCAATGCATCCCTTGCATCGGATAAAGAGGACTGTTGGGACCTATCCACAGCTGTGAAAATATTAATAATAAGCCTAGTTTATTAATTACCTAAAACGTAATGTAACCTAAAGCGACATACGAATACAGGGGTAAACTTTATTTTTTTTAACCTTTTTTTCACGGAAAATTTATATTGTTCTAATCTACGTATCAAATAACATGCAGATATCAATTTTGAGTTTAGGAATCCATCCATTGAAAAGTTATTAAGCAAAAAAAGGTCCGAAAGCGACATAACTACATATGTCAAAATTCCGAACTCTTTTTTGCTTAATAACTTTTTAATGGATGGATTCCTGAACTCAAAATTGATATTTTTGCATGTTATTTGATACATAGATTCGATCAATATAAAGTTTCAATAAAAAAAGGTTTCCTAAGGGTAAAGTTCACATCGACTACGGTGACATTGGATCAACTACGCTGACATTGGGAACTACTTATAACTTAAAAATTGAATTATTCTTAGAAAATGCTTAAAAACTTCGATATCCATGAATATAATCTAAAACGAAGGCTACTTCGTGTCCAGAGTACCGAGCAACTATTTTTATACCACTTATGATTCGTATTTTCATGCCAATACGCGAGGTTTCCCATTCACCGAACGAAAAGGATCTTACCCATTTTCGAAAGTAGGCCTACTATGCATTGTTGATCAGCGGAATGAAGGACATCTGACAAATTCGAGACTACCGGTAAGCACAGTGTGTGTACCCTGATTCTTCTTTCACCTGAAACATATTTCTCCTGTTAACATAACGTTCAAATCGATCGGTATCCATACGAATCTTGCGCATAATTTAACCCTCAACCGTCCCTCATTTCTCCAACTTAATTTGTCCCTCGGTGTCAAGTTGGCACAGTGGTAAAAAATTAATATAATGAAGGCATAAATAGTTAAATTTGCAAATTCTTTAAAATAAAAATCATAAAGTCCTAAGTAAATTCGTCTACACATGACAGAATATCATAATTTCTTAGGAGAAAAATGTGTCAAATTAACACGAGGGACAGATCAGGGTTAAAGTGCTACATGTGGCCAATACCTTTACTCGATGTGTAAAGTAAAGCTGCCTGAAAACAAACGTTCTGAACGTCCGAGAGATTCTCCTCTATAGAAATCTGCATTCCAAAACCAGCATCTGGATTCACGTTCGGCAAACTCAGAAGATCAGTGGTTCTAACGAAGAAATTCCCGTGGAAAGTGTGAATACTCAAGCCACGGGTACACCGTATTCTCATCACTGCCTCGAAACCGATCTTTCTGGCGAGATAACGTCTCAGTATTCGGTCGAGTGTCTCCGCGTTCTGCGACTTCGCTCCACGGAATAACGGGATATGATATATGCAACCACCAGAAAATTTACAAATACCGGCTGTAAAATAAAATTCTCCCTTCGTGTCACGATTTCACATGAATGATGAACACAGGTGGATAATATTTTTGTAGTAACTCACAAAGTGTCGCTAAATCACAATATTGGCTATTCAACAGGAATAAATCGACCGTGATTTGCTGACCACTGCAGTCCAACGCTAATCTCTTGTAAAAATCCGTGACTGGATTTAAATGTGGCACGTCCTTGCTTGCTCTGCTGTTAGGGTCTTCCCTCGCTTGTAAACGTCCCGGGCCGACGTTTGGCAGGCAAGTTTGGAAAACTGTGACGCGTCCACCAGTTGGCGACTAAAATGAAATTGCAAACGTTTTAACACGTTCCATGCCCCGACCTCAATGAACCGCGACATAACCTTAAAACATTTATAGTGTACACCGGGCGAGCAAACTCGGCTTCCGCTAGAGGGAAAAGCGGCGTAAAAGAAAAATCTTCTACCACTTGGTAAATTTATTCCAGGTAGTAAAATAAATGGAAAATCGAATATTAATTTAGCATACATTTCAGTAATTCCAAATACCATGTGGTAGGAGGCCCTTTCCTTACGTTACTTTTTCCCCTAGTGGAAGCCGAGTTTGCACGTCAGTGTATATTGTATGATTGTTAACCCCTTGCCATACGATTTCTTTCACGACTTCCCTCTCAAGAATTACTTTATCGTTAATATTTTCCGAGACACAAAAGGAATTCTATTCTTATGACAAGTGCTACATTTATTCTAAACTTTACATGTTAATAGCAGCGAAAGAGTATTTCACGTCGACTCAAAGAAAACGAATAATATATGTATGTTTACTAAATTCCGTTTGAAATCATTATCACGTGTCTCTGACTCGATGTTGTAAAGCAAAGGGGTTAACAAAAATTGAAAATATGAATTTCATTCACTTCTATTGAGTAGTACAATGAGCTCTCACCATGAGCTTATACGCAGCTTGTAAACCCGCGCCCAAAGCACTGTTTGTATCGTGAGTCCCTTGGAATTTTGTGGGCAATTGAGCCAACAAATCTCGAACTAACTCCTCACGTTCCTTTAAATTGACTATTAAATTTTCCGGACACGGAAGGAAAACATCTGCAAAGAAATTCGTTATTCTTAAATTATACAACATAGAAATGAAAATACAAATATACAATAAATATGTAATAATCTATGTGTAATAAATATATGTAACCTTGATAGGTTTTATAAAATATAAATTCATTTTGGCCTAAATAATTGAAACTAATTAACTAAACTACAATAAAGACGAGTGAATTAACGGCATTTATCACTGTTCGGTTAAGCAACGCTTTCAGTAATACATATCTCGACCCAGAGCTACAATGTATTAAGTCTACTTTTTACAAAAATGACATTTTACATGTTTCCTGTATCAAATATTTCCCTCTTTCCGGCGGTCAAAATTATTTCGTTCTAAGCCGTCTAGTTATTAATATAGTTACATACTAGTCTAAAAATTATTTTCAAACACAACTATTTTTCAAACAGTGTGAAGTTCATCAGATAGCCATTCTTCATTCACCACATCATTTCTTCATATAGAGACTTGCCTTAAATCCATTCAATAGTTCAAGGGTAGTGATTGTTTCTCGCTCAATTCTTATCGAACGGTTTCGAAGCTACAAGGCTTTCACACCTTTGATTTGCTCTCCTCTCAAGTTTGAAAAGTGTGACTTAATATACTCTGACTCTGGGGTCCAGGATATGTGCCGGTTATATCAAAAAATAATTCAATACATTAACAAATAAATAGCAAATTGCACAATGTTTATGTTACTTTACCATCTATATCGAGCATAATCATTTCCTGAGGTTGAGATACGTTGTCCGGTATGCTGAAGAAATGTATTGCAGAGTCTACTGCCAAGAATCCGATCTGCGTTCTACCGTCACCTGGCAGCCTCAACAATTCTTCTGATATTGCATTGCACACTATATTCAAATAACCGCTTTCCACTGCCAATCTCGAAACGTCCAGAACAAACAAATATACAGCTGGCTGAGGTGGCCGTAACTGTGAGCATATTTATTTCAATTACGATACTACCCTGTCATCGGTATATTCAGTTGAAATTTTAACGATTTCTTACCATGTATTCGCTAGGTGCGATAAATTCGATTGTACTCGTTTTGACTTCCGGTCGTCTCGACGGGTCACCGTACGTATTCGTCACGGGATCGAATTGAAATTCTTCTGGCACTGAAAGCAGAATTTTGCATATGTGATTACAAGAATTTCGTAAACAATTCGGTAAACGGAGTGGAGAATTTCATGTGTAGTTACATTCGTTTATTCTGTAACAGATACAGCATTTCCATCTCTTCAAGTCATTGAAGTATACAAACGGATTGATGTACGTCCTACAAGCTCGACATCGCACTATCGTGCTACACTGTATTACTGGTAGGTGCTGGAAGTAGAAAAAATAATTCAAATAAGCAAATATGGTATATTATTTATCCCCATAAATATCTATATTTAGTTTACTGAAAATTGTGCGTAAAATGATTATAGTTAAATAACATACACGTACATTTAAGTCTTTGAACGGATGGATTAAAATTCCTAAAGGCAACCTAGATTTCTGTAGTAAAGAATTCGATTCTGGAATCTTGGTGAGTGTACAGCGAAAAATACTGAAAAAATGAATAAAGGATTAACCTAACTGAATTAATATATGTTTCTACAAGCAACTGATCCATAAACATAATGTATGTATAATTGTAGAGAAAGCTACTCACTCTGGACTACAATTAACACTGTCTGAAAATTCTTGAAGTTTAATTTTTGGTGGCTCTACTTTCTCCGAGGGTAAAACATTTCTGCATTGTAAGAGATCGATAGTCTCCATTCCCTGAAAGACAAATAACACATATTTTCTGATCAAAATAAAAAATTATAGAAGATTCTAAAAAAATTAAATCTATACAATGAAATTATAAATCGCAATTAAAATTATGAAATTGTAAAATTAAATTTATGCAAATATAAGCTTTTAAGGATTAGTTCGCAGAAACTGCGGTCTATTATTACTTGCAAGAATACGAGACAATTTCTAATTGCTTACCCATAGTTTATTGTATCCAGCTTGTGCAACAGTCATCATGTTCATTTGGTTGTTCAATTGGTTCATTTGGTCGGGATACTGTTCCGGGTATCTTTTGTTCATTAAATCTGGCTGCATGTTCATTGGTTGCATGTTCGGTTGCTGCGCTGGATACTAAAATACAAGTATAACATGTATTCGTTCCAACAAGAATTCTAGTAGAAAATATAAAATACTTAAATATTCAAAAAAAAACTTATTATAATAGATCTTTTACTAACACGTTCCGTGCCCAGTAGGCCCCCAATGGACTAAACAGAAAGTCACGCGAACAGGTCTTTCTTTTTTAAAGTTCCTGCGTTCACCTAGAACTGTACTAAACATATCCTCGGAAATTGTGATAACGTCTGGGCACAGAACGTATTAACATAAGCGTGTTCCCAACTGTGAGTTCTACCCTACTTGCGTAATCATTTTCGTTCGTCAATGAATCCCATTTACCAATTTTCTAGCTCTGACATAAGAAAAACATAATTCATACCGTCCTCTGTCCTGGATATCCCGCAGCTATAGTCGAATGTGGCTTTGCTTGCACCTGAGGCACACTTCCAGCTGCTGCATAAGGCATTGTGTTTGGTACAGCGGTGGCGTGTTGCATAACATGAGCGTTCTTTGCATACATTCTTTGTCCTCCGAAATTTGGCTGATAAACTGGCTGTCCCCTGGGCGGTTGTATAGGATTCGGAAACGACGGTTGCGTTCCTGGCACCATGTTCTCCTGACTGATAATTTTGTACGGTTTCGCTTCCAACGCTGGATTCGATGGCAAATTCTGATCGAACACAGCTACTGGTGGCTTCGGTGGTTCCACTTGTGGATTCGCCAAGTCATTTCTCTGAGGTGGCTGATGCTGTGTCGCTGGTACTTGATACTGGTTCTGGACATTGCTCATTGGTGGATACTGCTGGCTTTGGGGTAACCTTACTGGCGGTGGCATCACAGGATTCATTGGGTTCTGTTGGGGTAACCTTGCTGGTGGTGGCATTACAGGGCTCAGTGGATTTTGTTGGCCATTGATTGGAGGAGGCATTGGTGAACGAGGTAGAGGTGATCTATATTGATTATAAAGGTATGGAGTCGGAGATGGGTCTCTTGATGTTTCTCTGGATGGATCTCGCGATGACTGTGAGGATGGGGTGCCTGAAATTGAAATATACAATTAATATATTTATGGAAACATGTTAAAAACTTTACAACTATTATATTCATTATCTATTCAAAACTAGTGAACTGATTTTCCATCGGTCAAAATGGTTGAGAATCGAGTATTCTTCTCTACCGTAATATAATTGTAGTTTTCTGTACAGAAAGTCCCAAGATTTTCAAAAGGTTATGTAGGATATTTTGTTCAAAATATTAGCACAATTTACCTGTGAAGTTATAATTTGGAGACTGCATGCCATTATGGTGTGTCGCACTAGTCTGTCCATTTACCATCTGTGGAGGACCATTTTTCAGGCTACCCTCATTGCCATAAGAACGATATTGATAGTCTGTTGGTTGAGACATATCGCTGATTTCCAAACGTCGCTAAAGAAAAAGTTAAAAAACAGACAAGTCAAGACATTATGAGCTTGTGAGTGAAATTATTAAAAATAAGTAGAAATAAAAACAAATCAATTTAAGGACTATTCTTTTATTAACCAAAAATTTTGTCATTAGTAAAGTATATATCATACAGAGTGTTCGGCTACTGATGTCAGAAATTTTAAGTAGTATTTCTGTATGTCAAATTGAGACAAAAATCAAGAATAACAAAATTGCGTTAAAGGATTCGTTTAACTAAGTCTGTAAATAAGCTGTTCAACGCGTACTCACAATAGTCCAACACGTCAAATATTATCCACAAGTCGCGTTTTGTCACAATGTTGCTATTCTTGATTTTCATCAGTTCAATATATAGAAATACCCCTTAAAATTTCTGACAACAGCAATCAAATACTATGTATATATATATCATTCATTGTACAAAAAGATTAAAGTTTATCAAGTCATCGATAAAAGAAAAAACACAGATCCATATTTCATTTGTTATAGTTACTAATACACTCCTACATTGTAATTGTAAGAACAGGTATGTCAGTTCTTTGTGAACGCTACAACAGTATTTAATGTACATCTGCAAATGTCATAGATATCACAGACATGCACGTATGTTACACATTCATGTAGAAACATGAGTTTCAGAGAACACAACTAATATTACTTAGTGCATATCAGATAAAATTTGAATATCATAAATCTTCCAGGATTTCTTGTCTCAGACTATATACATATACATACCGTCACATAACACTAGAATGAAAACTACACAAATTCTAGAACTTTTTACAAAATACTAATCACACACTAATTCAAACAAAATCATGAGTAAATTATATTAAACAATTTTAACCTCTTAATATTAAAATACCAATTCTATTAAATACACAAAATCTCAAAATAAGAATTGAAAATCACTAAATAATCAAAGAACGAAATTACAAGACGATTGAGTAAACTGCATAACTACACATTTGTAAACACTAGATACTTCGTATTAATTATAACGAAATTTCAAAGTTCATTTAGTCGCTCGAACGAGAAAAAAAGCTTGGAGGATCTCAAAGAAATCTCATAAAAGCTCGGTTCTGGTGGAACTGACAGCAATGCAATTGAAGATAAACTCGTTCAAGGGGAACAATAAGACAGTGGAAACCGAAGGGGCAAACAGGTTAATAAAACCAGTAAATATAATCGAATAAAATAGCGATCAAAGTGAAACGAGTTCGCTATTGGGCGGTAAATACGTGGTTGCTCATCGGGCTGGAATTCACGGGAGATGGGAAAAATGAAAAATCTGCAATTCAGGATTTGGAGATTACCGTAGGAGGGGAATACAGTGACCACTGAACTTTTCGAAGATTAAAAGGAAGAGACTGACGGAAAGGTTAAAACGTCACGTCGATGTCGGGGTTGCTCGGGAGTCCCAAGTGCTTCCGTCCGATTTTCGGTTTGTCCGGAAAACTTTCTTACCTTTTCGACGAGGTTACCGCGGCAAAAAGAACGAAAAGTTTAGATCTCACTGCGCCAGGAGACGTGCATTGCACTTTTTACGGTGTAATTCGCCGTTAATTGTCGGAGAGACGTACCTCGTCGACGCGACACACAACATTACGTGGCAGCCCAGTTGATCGGGGCGCCATTTTCGCTTCGCGGGCCGTTTCTGAACCAAACATTGTTGGAATCATTAATTTACAAGACCCGACGTCAAATTAAACAATCTTTGACATCATAATTCTTTTCAACTCTTACGTTTCTTTATGTAACCTAGAACAGGTCTGGGTGAAACATATAGATTATAGAGCCAACGATAGATAAATTATTTTTGCGTGTCGACGCATGAAAATGCAATAGTATTTTGTTCGCGTGAAAAAACTTAAGTGATTAGTATTTATAGCCTGCGGACGTTTATGTAAAAGATTTTTATAGACTAATTCGAAGACCCTGAAAGTCAGGCGGGAATTCGAGCAATCATTCGGGTTACAAGTGCAGGAGATCCGCCGTTATTTTTACAAATATCTGAAAGGACAAAGGGGGGTGGAATAATTGAAAAAGAGCGAAAGCGATTAGTCACCCGCCCTTTGTATTTAGTCTCGACGCATTCACATTTATTACATTTAAAAATATAAAAGCTGAGGAAAATATTTCTGTTATTTGTTTGATTGTTTCTTAAACGATAAGAAATTAAATCTTGCACAGCACTCCAGTTTTATTATAAAGCTATCCTTTACACTAACTTATCAATGTTCAAACATTTATAAGTAAAACACTTTGTAATTTAAAATAACTTGGAAAATATATGCAATCTATAGACAAATAAGTGTATAGAACAATTTTATACACTGGAAATAGTAGAGATAATAAGACTTGCTCGATTATCCAAAGTTATCATTTATAGATTTATTATAATGTTAATTTCATAATTGGTCGGATAAATGTTATAATTTGGTCAATTTCCTAAAAGTACACACACACATATATTTTTTTCGTTTTTCAGATTTAGCTTAGCTGACTAAGCTTTAGTACTTTTTTTCGTAGTCAATTGTCATTCATGTTAAAAGGTGAATGATGCACCCAGTTAATGTACGTATAAAGTAATTACATTCATTTCAATGTAATGAGTCTGTAACTGAATCTTCCCAACGATTCGATCGGATTTTACAGCAGAAATAAATAATAAGAATGCTGACTTTAAGTAAAAATAATGTTCGCCGACGTTTCTTTCTTTTTATAGAATTTCTTGTCGCTCATAGTTATGACACGCTTTACAAAAATATTGCTTCTGATATGAGACAGTTATGTAATAGTTGTCATATCGAAATACGATGACTCGTTTTCATCTAGGAAGAAAATTTTACGATCCGTTTGCTCGTCCCTTATAAGAGTTCAAACACTCGTGTCCTGCCTCTTATTCAATCGAGTTTCTCACAAATATTTTGCAATTTATTTTCCACAATTGAGTCCCATTGGTCTTCTGCCACATTCTGACACAGAGATTTTAAATTACTTTCTCGAAGGTGTTCTCTTAATGTGTCTGAAATTTAAATAAAATTTTCACGTACTTCCAATCGTATATTTAAATTTTACTTGTATATCTTTTAAAATAGTTGGAAGATACCTGAATTAACCATATTTTCCAATAAGGACACAGCATTGTACAGAATCGGTGCTTCCAAATTATTTGCAGTTTCAAAGAACCTGCAAAGTTTCTCTCCTACTTCAGCCTCTAGAAGACACTTTTCACATTCTGTTAAACAGCTCGTGGTCAATACCATTAAACTAATCAGAGCTTCGATTTGCATTAAAATGTGCTGTGACGTTAACATTTTCAACAGGTGCGGGACTGCCCCATGTTTTATCATCGGAAGTGCAATCTCCTTATTCCTGAGATAAAAATTTTAATACGTTAATCACAGTGGAAGATTTCAGCAAAATATATACAAGTGTACTTATAAAAATCAGTTGACCTGCTATTATTAATCAGCCAAGCGATCAAACGATTCGCTTCACCCTGAACCCCAGGATGCTCTTCCACTTCGCACCACTCAACGGTCTTCTTTATTAAATCACTTCTCTTTCCCAAGTGCATAGCAGCTTTGCCTGCAACAAATTTATCATTGCAAATTCATTAAAGCAGCAAGGATAACAATTCTGTGCAAATCTACCAAAGTAACAAAAATTATTTGGTGAAATGTTGAAAGTTTTTAAAATGCAATCTTACATTGACCATCGATAACAATCCTCAAAGTTCCCAACAGTTTAAAAACCACAGGGTACGATGGAATATTCAACATCGGGTATAAAACATCTATCAATCCATCGTTCAATATTACAGGCTTGTTGTCCGCAGGAATTACAAGATTCCTCAAAGCGCTGAGCAAAGCGTGCTGAAACCTAATGTCTGCAGTGTCCGTATTATTATCCTGTAGTAGTTTAAGAAGACTCCTGTGAACACCTTGCGTAACCATGAGCTTGCAATGGGCATCGCTGCGCGCGAAATTGCCCATCGCTAATACTGCTGTGATTTGTAAATCTTTGTCTCCGCTTTCAAGCCACTCGACTAACTTCTTATACACAACACCCTTACTGTTATCATACAAGCTGTTCATACTCTCGTCTAAAAACGGAAAAGAAAGGAAAATATTTACATTCTAATATTTCTCGTGTACAAATCCCTTATTACTAATAACGCAAGATAGTATTTACTTTGCGTAACGCGATTCTAAAATATTCAGTAGTCGTGACTAAAGGAAAAGAAAATCATTCGTTGCATATGATAACCGACTTTCTCGGAACCAATATAAATAAATTTTCGCAATAATAAAAAACTATAATATGTTGAAAGGGGCTTTGTAAAAAGGCAAATATCATTTTAAAAAATGTCGCAATTTTGAAATTATTTCTTTTTAATAAACTAGCTTCTTTTTACTGTTTATAGCTTATGTTCTTTCATTTAATCTGGATTTATAGTGACGTTTAGATTAGGTTTTAGTTACAAATTTAACTTGAAATTAAAGATACTTATAATTCTTTGCGACACTTTTAAAAATATTTTGCTTCTTTAGACTGCCCCTTTCGATATATTAAAGTTTGAAGAAGATCGAAGATACCGATCGAATTGTAACGGTAAATCGAAAATGCGTTATTAGATGTACCTCCAGTTAAGACAAGAATAATTAGATTGCAAGCAATTTTTAGGACTGATCTGGCCTCTTCGTCAGTGCAATACGGACTGTGCTTCTCCAAAAGCTTCAGCAACAATTCACAGACACCTGCTTCTGCGAGCAGCAACTTTGCGTTCTCTAAAATTTAAATATGTATCAACCTCTCGAAAAGCGTTAGGAATAATAGTTGTATATCAATCGATGTACCATTTTCTGCCTGACCATGAAGAAGTTCTAAGCACATCTCAGAAAGTTCCGACGATGTGTCGCTCGCGAGAATATCTACCAAAATTTTCGTGAGTCTTTCATCTAGGAACTCTGTACTGGCGTCATTCAATATTCCTAATATCAATAATGCATGCATTGCTGATTCTCCACCCACAGTGCCATCGATCTCCAGAACACTGCATATAATAGGTACAGTTTCCTGTTGCAATGCCTAAGAAAGTTTTCCTACAGATTAACATATTAATTATCACGAATGCACTAGTATGTTATTCGAACAAGTTATATTAAGTGCAACGGTGTATTAGCAAGATGGTCATCATATTTGTAGGGATTTATTTTTGCATACTTAATCCTTGCTCAGCGATTCCTGAGTCCATTTTGAGCCCAATTCAACATGCCTGTCTTCCAAGGGTTTAATCTCATGACACCAAGGTTTTATTTTTATTATAAAAATGGTGATTTTAAACACATACTAGTACATTAGCGGTATGTAATGCAATTTTTTCTACCAATACTAGCATGTATGAGATAATTTGACTGCTAACAATTAACATGACAAGGAATAGTTGTGGGCAATGAGATAATATATTCTATACCTCCTTGATAATGGATGACCGGTCGATAAGAAAATTCAAAAGAAGACCTGCCGCCACATTGCGGAGAAATGGAGCACCGTCCAAGTTTCTTAGTGTAACACTCTTCTCCAATACTGCCAGGATTGACCTTAATCCATCTTGGTCTTCGACAAATTTCTTGCCATTTTCTGCAATGATTTTATAGACGAAAGGAATTAAGAAAAGTTAGAAACTCTACCGACATAATACCATTTAAATTCTTGTTACCAACTGACTCTGTGGATAAACTATGTAATTCACATTCAATCTTTTTCTTTACAGACAAATACAAATAAATGTATGTGTAAAATGTGGTAATTTAAAGTTTCTAGACTCCAGCAAATTATACATTAATCGAAAGTTATTACAATTTTACCAATGAGAAGAAATCCTAAGAATACTATATTATAATAATAATGACTTTAATGTCAGTTACATACATGAACAAAATTTTGGTCATTAGGGATTAAAGATCCCTACCATTCTCGTAACAAATATTTCCCAAAGCCCTGGAAGTTTGTGTTAACACATCAACACGATCATCTTTTAACAGATTTATCAGTGCATTCACTATGTCCATGGTAGTGCATTTCTCTCTTCCTCGTTCACTTTTGGCAATTTCTGCGATTGCCTTGGCAGTCTTTGCAATGATTTCTTTGGATTCATGATGCAACAATGTTAGAAAGACATCGTCCACTGTGAACTCTGTAGATTCTAAGAGAAATAAATAAAGTTTGTGTTGCGAAGAATTATAAAAAGAAAACGAATAATCATGGATCGGCTAAAGCAAATCTACAGAAAGCAAATAGAAGGTGTTCCAGATGTGTATCAAAATATTTTAAGGGATGATAATTATTATTAAAATATACCTCCAATAGAAGTTTTGCTAACATTGACAATAGAATCTAAAACTTGGATAATATCTTCAATTTCTTTCTCCGATTTTACAACAAATCGCAACTCCTCGAGTAACTTTGCAATATTATGCTTTAATTCGCCTGAAACAGAAAATAATTTAAGCATTACTACTCTACGGGTCTCTATGTGGAAAAATGTGTTCAAGTTTTTTCAAATTTATGCTTGAAACAAAATAATGTAAAGGAAAGCGAATGATCTGTCATTAAATATTTTGACATCAAGTGTTTCATACTGGCAGATAGATTGATGATGTAGTTCCATTTGTTATCTATAAAATAATTATAAAATTTCTGCCATACCTTCCATCATTCTTATTTTCCCAGGTTCAAATGTTAAGTAAATAAATTTTGTTCTAAATTAATAGTAATAAAATTTATTTAACACCGAACAGCATCTTGAAAGAATCTTCCATGAATTGTAAACATTCAGTTGAGGAACATCATTTTTCGTTTACGGTACTAGAAACACAAAATCTTACTGAAAAAAATAACTATGTATGAAAATAATTAGATACAGGAAAAGAATTTTTACAAGATACATGTATTTATTAATTCTAATCTTTAACATTTAATCAGCTACATTCTAATACGTATAAATGTTTAATTTCTGTAAGTGGATTATAAAAATCAGGTGTAAACATTTTTCATGTTGGATATCATTATCACCATCAATCGTTGGTGTGAATTTTTCTCATGTTGGCTGTCGTTGTAAACAATAACCAACCTGAAAAATGTTTACCCTATATTTCTGTAATTCATTCACAAAATCAAACATTATTTGTTTTAAAATTATTACTAATTGAAAAACATGTTTGAAAGCAGAAAATGTTAAATTATAATTCCAAATACAATTCATAACTTGCGAGAATGAGTAAGAGAGTTAGCCGTTTAATGAGTTTTTCTTTCGCGAATTGTCATGTTAACTTTAATGAATTTTATTCATTTCAATTTCAGTAAAAAAAAATTATTCGGATATTTTTATTCACCATTTTTAATTAGTGCATAGTGTATATATCTATCCAAAAATAGACAGTTTGTGGTTCACACAAAAACCGCTAAGCATGGCCGCAATTTCATAAACCAAGTGATATTTTTCGACTTTTTACGGAGATTTTCCAAAAATCCGTAACTATTTCCGCAATAACGCAATACATTTTAATAATTCACACAATAGATTATAATGTAAATCAACAATTATGCCTGACAAAAAGACAAAGAGCGACAAAGAACGTTTTTACGGTAGGTTTGTGTTAAAATTCCACCAATTTCTTATATTCCACTTAATTACCAATTAATTATTACCTACAAAATTAAATTTGTATAAAATGTACCGAAACACAATGACTTTCTGTCATGATCAATCAATTAAGGCTTGACTGTGTTAAGGTTAACTCATAAAGGGAATTCATAATTTGTGTCAAACGCGAGAAAGTATACAAACAATATTTGATACAAGTCCGTAGAAAGAAATTCTGACATTGCAAATTGTAATTAAAATTTGTAGGTGTCCTTACAGTGAAGGCATTGTTATTCTTTACCAATATCATTTGTTTATATAATATATTATTTCCACTGACTATATATTACAGCACTTTATCCTAGAAAATATGATATTGTATCAATTTTAATAAGTTTGTATTTTTACATTACAGCTACAATGTTCATAAGTAGTGCGGCAGGAATCTCAGCTCTGTTTGGTTTCTGTAGTGCATTAGCGTCAGCCAAAAAACGAGATACAAAGAGCTTCGACGTTGGATTCATGGGAGGGAAAGGTTTTCCAGAATCAGGAGCATCGCTCGCTACAAGAGCCCTTCTTTGGGGCTCAGTGTGGGCAATTAGTGGCTGTGGTTTGCTCTTCTATGGAATCTGGAAACTTTCCGGTGCTACTACAGCAGAAGAATTTCGATTAAAAATGGGGTCTATCTTGCCACGCATACCAAAGAATAATCCTCCTCAGAGTAGAACTGAATTTGAAAACCTTACTGATCTGCTTAGATATGTTTCCGAAGAATGGGGTAAAGAAAAGTAATCCCATTTAAAAGTTACAATAAAAACAGAAAAATAGTCACTGTAAAGCATTTTTTATTTATAAAGGTACTTGAAAAAAATCCACGTGAAGTGAAGTTTGAAGAACACTGAAATGCACGAAACTGAGTATTCATTATCTTTAAATAAAATAAACATTTTCGCCGGTTGTAGGCAGTAATTAACAGCCATGTTAGAATGACCATAAAATATTTTATGATTTATACTTCAGGGCATACCTCTGTTGACTTAACACATTAAGTTATGTTTAGTTTATCGATATGGAAGAGAACTGCCACATTTAAAGTCTGTAAATACCATGTTACTAATGAACTAAAATTACGAGTAAGATTCATAATGCAATGAATTCTGTATTGTATGTACATAATATTGTATATATTATATGCAGTAACGAATTTTATACTATATAGTTCGATATAATATGAAAAACTACTATGTTTGAATTCTGAAAGTAGAATGATGTGTATTTTTATAGAAATAAATTTTGAAAATTAAACAACTGTATTATTATGTTCCTGTGCAGGATATTACATAAGTATGTATTTCAAGATATACAATTGAAATTGGGTGAAATCTAGAAAATTGACTGAATGTTTTTTTTCTACAATTTGTTTCCTAACGAAACCGGGGGAAAAAAATTCTCCTAAGGAGAGGAATGATGGAAGTCCATTCGGACTATTTTTTTTAGCTCAATTTAATTGTTTTTTTATTTGATATTTCCATGACATTCGGGACAGGTGATACGTAGCTACGTAAACGCAAAATGACGACTAATAAACTAAACAATGAATCATTGTACAAATACTTCTGTTTTATCATATACACGCTTTATTACATTTTGGTAAAGATATTATGATATAAAAAAGTACTTTAAAAACCTAACTAAAAGGTACCAGAAGAACTGCAAATCCTAAAAACTCTATTAACGATTTATTAATACATAAGACATTGGTATTCATTATGTCCAAAGAGCAGATGATTTACATAGATATATTTAGACTGAGTATTTTATGTATTTACACATTTACATTAAACTGAAAGCTGTAAAACACACTGGAATGAGAATTATAGCAAAGATTACTGTAGCCTTTTCATTTCTTTCATATATGTATAGTGAAAATGGGAATTTATATAAATATTCACAGACCAGATATAATGGATCAGTGAAAAATGATTATATATTGATACAATCATCAATAATACTGTGACAGCCTCTGCGAAAATAAACTATTCTGAGTTTACTTTAAGTCCCCAGTACAATGAACTATTCTCAGTTTACTTTAAGTCACCGGTGTACTAAGATTAATAGTATGGAACCAGAAAAGTAGCCAGCATACATTGTTCATGTACTAAAGCAGGTTGAAAGTGACAAAAATAAACGTAATAAATTAATGAGATGCGCATTCCTAACAAAGGTATGTATTTATTCTGTCGCTTGTGATTATCATTATAATAACATTTCCATTTATATCCTTCTTTGTAGGCGTAATAGTTTAGTAATTACCATATCAGTGAAGCATAGGTGAAACTTGCTACGCGTCATGCAAAATTTTTTCGCAACCAAAAAACGTGATAAAAAAAAAGAGACTGGGGAGTCAGACTTCCATGCAAACGGAGGTTCTTAAGAATGATATTGTTTTTTAACTGTCTGAGATCAAAACAAATCATACACAGCAGTAGATCATTGACCGGGTAACTTTTGTATGTGTAAACATGCAGAATAATTCTGAAACTGATAAAAAATTCAAATTATATATGATGTGTAGAAAACATATTACAATATTATAGACTATACATTGTTTATAATCCTATGTACGGCGAATTATGCACCTGTAATAAAGTCATCATTTTTTTTTTGTAGTTAGAACTTTGTAATATAAATGTTGAATATTTTAACAACGCTGGCTACTTGATCATTCGTGAGTAAATCAGCCAATACAAAAGGCATTATAGTGTAATGAAAGATCGTTTCGGCATCTTCTTCGGTAAGTTATGAACTTAAAAGATTTAACGACGTATTGTTTAATTTACGCTAATTTAACATTCGTATACATACAATGTCAAAGTGAAAAAGAGAGATTAATCTAATTTCCACAAAATTTGCTATAGTTTATGTTCGATTTAAAAAATCCCTTAATGGGAAAAATGAATCTCTATTTAATTTCTGTTACTGTCAATTTACACGAAGATCCGGTGAATTGTAGCTACTTCGTCTGGTTGAAATCGTGCTCACTGATGATGACACCGTAAAAGGTCGTTCAAGGTCACGGGAGGTCACAAAATAAACCGCCACATATTTACTCACACGTCGTATGGAAGATCGCTTGCATCCCCAATGACCTTGATAATTCTTTTAATCAGTCACGTGAACATCTTATCGTTTTCTCTCCTATCTTCCAGTTTCGTCGATTTTTCCTGACCTTACAATACTTATCAGCGTTTACATTTTAGACAAACAATCATCTGATAATATCCATATTACAAAATTACTATGTAATTCAAGTATCCTCTTTTTACCGTGAAATTGAATAATCAGACTTTTTTACATAATAGAAATCAGTGTAATACAATAACTACATGAAAAAATATCTGTGATAAATAAATGTGTAAAAATAGATATTATAATATACGAGACTTATATATACAAGTACCCATTTTTGTAAGCTAATTTTTGTTTATAAAAACACGTTACTAGAAGCATAGTAATAAAATAAGAATGAAATATTAGTCACCACGAAAGAACATCACGAATTTATAAATAAAAACTGAATTACAATAATTTTGTTTATCTACTTTCTTAAAATGAAATCTCTGGTAAAAATTAAAAAATATATAATCACATTATATTATTAGTTAGGGGATCAATTTCATAATAACAACATATATTAATTAATTTCTTCAGTTGATAAAAATAACTGTGTAGTCCAAGATAGGATACAGCTATTACTAGTAATGGTGCTAAGAATTAAATACTAAAATCATTGAAAAGAAATCTTCTAGATTAATAATATTAGGTTTAAAATTTCTATTTAACATTCAAGTAGTTATTTTACTTTTAATTGTATTCGAAGGTGTCAATTTAGATTAAATAAACGACCCTGGAACCTTCCTATGATTGTAGTGTCGTCATCAACATTCTCCTTGACGCTTATCCCTGAAGGTGACATTCCTCGTCACCGTAAAGCTACCAAAGATACCTATGTCGCCGTATCCTCGTATAATTTATTCGAACTTCGACTACGTAAGCGTATGTGACGTCACGGAATTTCGTCAGGCGGCACGTTTTTCCTACGATCGATTCCCGGAAAAAAGTTCGTGTTTTTCATCGTAAAATATTAATATTGACCTCTGAATTCACACAGGTGGCATTAATAAATTGCACGAGAAACAACGTTTATCCGAACTCCATTTTAATGCTGGCAATACATAATTATTTCAGAGTTCGAAGGTTACGACTTTTGCTGGGAACCTGAAAAAAAATCCAACCCCCCCCCTTTTTTTACGTCGATTTTTATGATATTTACCTAATGTTTCAACGGGGGGAAAAAAATCGAGTACGGACAGCGAACGCGCATGGAATCATTTCTGGCGGCCATTTTGTACCTCGTGAAATGCTCTGTTTAACCGTGATACAGTTAAAACAACGAAATCAACTTTCTTTATTACTTTGTTCTGTTCCTTCTCTCTGAAAATCGAGAAAATTGTGGATATTGCGTATCATTTTGAATGATAATTGAATGGAATATTCTTGAATTCTGATTATTAACCTTGTGGACTGACTGTGCTAAATTTAAAAATTAATTTCAAATTTATAAATTCATGGCATACATCTATAAACAATTGTTCATCTAAACGTAGTACTTTTACTCCAGTCGTTGTTTTTCGTATTTTGTTAAATTAAATCATGTAACGTTTGTTTTGTTTCATGGTTACCTACCGAATAAATTCTCATTTACTTGTGTTGTAAGAATACTTGTCCGATAAATTATTTATTAAATAATGTATTATTTATCAAACAACGTTTCCACTGAATTGATTCGTTATTTTCATCGATCAAGTATTTATGTCCTTCATCGTTTCTTCCTGTTTTAAACGAGACGTGTCTAAATTATAATTAAGGTTTTCCTTTTAAATTGTTTTTTATTAGTCCAAAACTGTATTTATACGATTCACCACATTTTTAAGTTAGAAAACGTAATTTCGGCTGGATCGGAACTACCGAACAGAGAACACCATTCGTTTACCCGATAATAATTATAGTAAGACCGCGAATTAATAATTTAAACCGCAAAACAGAACAATCTGAAGTTATAATATGAACGTATTCATACATAAGGAAATTGGCGGAACCACAAAATAATTAATTCCGTAATCCCGACAAATGAAGAAGTAAACAGTTTCGCAACTCCCGTCACAACTAATTATTATCATTAACATGCAACAGTCATATATGTATAGTGAAAAAAAAGGTATACGTAATACCAGGTAATAACAAACGAACTCACATACAAACGTTCTCACGTCGCGTTCCTCTCATATACACGCAACCATACAACCATTTTCTTTTTTTTTCTTTGCGCCTATTATATTGTGTCTACGCATGTATGTTCCCCCTGCAGTAATTCGCAGTATTAAAACAAAGTTAAAAATATAAACGGATAGAAACTAGATGAAATCGTATCTAATCACCATTCCGTTTCTATTTTGTCCCTGTTTTTCATTTTTACTTTAAATCTACGTCGTAACCGCCCAAAATTCATTTGTTCCTAAACATTTAGGCAGTTTACTGTTTTTCGTTGTTTACTCGGAGTTTCGTTGCTCTATTTCTTAATCGATACAAAATTACACGTCTGAACACTTTTCCACTCGAAAATTTGGTTATTCAGCCTTCCTCTTAAAGAATTCAAGAAAAGTAAGAAGGCGTTGCGAATTGGTACCGGAAGTGGTCGTAACAAACATCAACACGAACTTTCAATTTTAGTTATGCAATCATTCAGAAATTTTCCAAGATAAAAATGACATTTTTCGTACAATAAATATTTAATTTCCGTTTAAAAAGAAGTTCAGGAAACATGAAAAGTCTATCGACAGATTTTCGACCGTTATTTAACCCTCGAACGGTGAATCATCTGAACATGTGAGTCCATTTTGACCCATAAGAGGAATCGTGATATTTACCAATAAAAATAATTTCTGTGAGAAAATTGTGATCACGATTTATTTATGTATTCCTATAATTTGTTTCTAATAAAATATGGTATAGGTTATATACTGTGTAAGGTTGACAGCATGCAAAGGGTGGGTGTCGTCATTCACCGTGCGAGGGTTAATCGTTGGTTCGAAGCTTACTAAATAACCCCTGGTAGGTGAAGTGTACTCGAAACTCTTTTTTTTATTTTATTAACTAAATAACCGTTTATATGTTACTCAATTGTCCACTAAAAAACTATCTTCTTCGAAAAAGAATTTTCTAACCTGAAACTGTTCATGACGCAATAACAGTTGCCAGTGACATAAAGGTGCCGCTTAATTGTTAGGTTATCTGTACCAACGAGAACGCAGCGTCTCGAAGCTAATACACCTGTACGTTGCGCCTAGGGAAACATCTCTTTCATCAGGAATGCACATGGTTCAAATGTCCACTCTTTTTTCCACTTTCTTCACAATTGCACTTCCAAGTCAAGAAATGCAATTTTCGACGAACTGATCGCTTAATCGTAGTAATTAGTGGCAATGATACCGGCACAGAAGGTGGTAAATCGATTCAGATCGATACTCTCGAGATTTCTACGATCGATAATTAAAAACCAAGTATTTGCAATAATCGCCTGACTTATTCGTAAACTGTAAATATAGGTGGAATAATCCAAATATGATCTCAATGCTTGAAGGATCATTGACACTAAGAAAACAGTCAATTTAATATTCATTAGTTCATTCATGAAATAGGAGAACATCACATTTACAGCATTCTTGTGTACAGAGTAATAACACTTGAAATTACCACCTTCATTTGCATGTGGGACAAAGAATTGCGTAAGTAGGATTCAAATGATTTACATGAGATGAAAGACAGACCAGAGGACCTATTTGTTTGCAGGGAGCATTGACAATCAATGTAAATAAACAACTGTGTGAAATGTATAATTTTCTTTAAAAAAAGAAAAAATATTTTAATCCATTATACGGCACACTAGCTAATTTTTCTAAAGATGATATACTTGAAAGGGTATATACCAGTGTGGTAACTTCAAGAAATCACTATAATTTGAATCTATGTAACTGTCATATGTATAAAGTTTTCTTTAATAATAAGCCCAACAATTAATATAATATTCCTGTCAATTTTATGCTTACTAAGTATCATTATAATGATCTTAACATTAACATAACAATAAGGTAATGAATAAAACGGTCTCACACTTGAATTGTTATAAAGAAAGATTGTTCTTTATTGCAAATACTTTTATTTATCCCGTTTTAGTACGTATCTTTGTATTCATCCCCGTTTTGTACAACAAATTTACAACTAGAGAATTATAAATTCATTGCCGGTTTAAGGACTTCCCTATAAAATCGCAATTCTGTTCTCCATTTTATCCTAATGTGCATTAATACTTTTGACATGCACGCATCCAGCACATTGGAACCTCTGTTTTATCCGCCAAACGATAACACGGCGAATTCGCGACAGTTATTGTAATTAATGTTATTTCAATTAAATAAATAATAAGAGACATGCTTGATTACTACTCGTTTGAATTCAATCCATCAGGATGCCAAACAACGGGCGTCCTGATAAATCGAATCACTGTCTTTCGTTGGACTGACTTTCCACCTCGGTATCTCTACCGAAGTTTCATATATTATTTATAAATAAAAATAGAAATGAACAAAAAGAAGCACACATTTGGGTTTCACGTGATCCCTACACTTGGTTCCTGTAGAAAACCTGTTTACATATAAAACTTGTGTGTATGTGTCTCTGTGTATGTGTGTATAATTATTTAGGACTATTCATAAATAATCGTTTAAATTATAAATACAAGTACGCATACAGGGTTCACGGGCTTCTGGTACGTTTCCATAGTTCAGATTTGTGCGAATCAGGAGGCGATTGGTAATTTCTGGAATAAGTCTGTGTGTTTTTTGGGTATGCGTGGTTTTGTGTGTGTGTGTGTGTGTGTGTGTGTGTGCGCGCGCGCGCGCGCGTGTGCGTGTGTGTTCCAATTGGCCTGTTTAAGAGGGGAAAAAGTACATAAATCATTTCCAGTATGGAAGTGCGCGTCGATCAGCGGCGTGGACAAATGTTTCGAGTGTTTAAAATTAACGTTTCAAACACGCTCCTGTTTCAGCCAACAAATGTTTTCTCTCTCTCTCTCTCTCTCTCTCTCCTCCGCATCCCCTCTCAATCTCTCTCTCTCTCTCTTTCTCTCTCCTGTTTCTGACCATGCGACTAGAATATAGGTCAGTTTCGATTCGTTCTGTCTCGAAGGGCGACTAGCCCCACACAGATGTCAATAGAAAAAATTAAAAAAAAAAAAAACAAAGATGGGTCATCGCTGTTCAAAAACATCCATTCATTTTGTTTTTAATTCAAACTATTCATGATTCTCAGGTAAAAATGCTTTGAAATCTAATTAAATCCACAATCACTCGGAAAGGAACGGGTTCTTTGTTTTTGAAATGTTTTTCGCATTTTCCCGTATACAAGAAAATTATCCATCCCTTTTGTTCTCATTTAATTGTGCTACCTAAGAAAACGTAACGCTACCCAGTATGTTTGTATCATATATGTAGCACGGTCCTCGGCGAGTTAAATACATTGTATAAATAAATAATATAGTTTGTACATAAAAAAAAAAAAAAAAAAAGAAATGGGAACAGAATAAACGTCTCTGCAGAGCTGACTGCGCCCTGACGTTGAAAAAACATCAGCGAGCAGTCCGTTTGTTTTTTACTAGCGGCGCGTTTATTTTATACTAGCGGCGCAAAATAGTCGTGATAGAAAATAGTAAATATAAATCCTTCTCTATATTCTCGGTTTCCTACTTTATTATTTTTTTCCTTTTAAATTGTTTAAATGGTCACGTTCGATCTCGAATCATTTGTTTAACAATTCAGCATTTTACAAATGTCATTCAATTCGACACTTCTTTGTGTGCCTATCCTCGATTCTTACTATTTTCTATAAATTTCTTACTTCATATCGGAGGTAGAACTAATGAAATTTCGGTGGACATGCTCTTTACACCACTCCTTCTCTCTCTCTCTCCCCCTCCCTCTCTCTATCTCTGTGTGTGTGTGTGTCTCTCTTTCGCTCCAAGCATTTTCAAAAGCGAATTTGTATCCGTTAGATTCAAGGTAGAACGAGGCTGTTCATTATTTAATATCAATTCTTGATACGTCATATAAGATATTTCTAGTATAAATTTTATACTAGCCATCAATAAACGATCTAAAGGAAAATTTAGGTATGTTTATTCCTCGCTATATAATCGATCCACCTTTATTCATCTATATACGCGTAACATTTTTTTTTTCTTTATGTTCGTTAAACATAATTCTTTAATTCCGTAGAAAATACATCAAATCTGTTCGGGTTAAATCCACTTAACATATTCTCCAGGATTAAACGATTCTTTTCAACATTAAATAATCTATTTATATAACATACCGTATTATTACTGAAAAAAAAAACGTTACGTCTCTACACGCCCTCGTTCTACCAAAGCTTTTGCAACATGGTTATGAACTCCGCAACCACTCCGTCTCTCCCTCCGACGCCCCAAAAAATGTTTACAAGGAAACATCTTCGGAGATTGTTTCTAAAACGAAAAAATATTTTTCAAGAAAAGTGTGCCTCTAAGAAGCTCCTTAACACAGCTGATAACGCGCGTCCAACGTTATAAACCACGTCGAACGGGATTATCATTTAAATTCGTTACTAAATTCAGTGTGCAACATGTAATATTATCATAAAATTCAGTGTGCTATTTACCATCAAGTAACGCTTGTTCTTCCACTCTCACCCTACCACAACGTCGGCGCGTGTGTATGTATGTATATGTTTGTGACTTAGTTCTTAACAAAGACTTCTAAAAAGAAAACCCAGAAAGAAAGGAAGAAAAACATTTTCAAGGAGCTTTTTCTTCGAAGAAAAGCATTCCCCAAAAGTATGTCTTCTTACAGGGGGAAAAAAAAAAGAACACCCTTTTTCAGATAGCATTTTCAAGAAATGTCTTCTCGGTAAGCTTCTCTGGAAAATGTTTCCAAAAATTTGTCTCTGCGGTATATAGATGTGTGACGTATCTGTCATCTGTGTTTGTGTTTTTAGGTTAGGTGTGCATTTTTCTTTAATTAGCCTTGAGCTTCTCGTATTCCACCGTTCCATTGGAATAGTGCTTTTTCTCGACTTTGGCGCTTCGCTTGCCGCCGATGTACGCTTTATGGAAAAACTTCGCGAACAGCACGAAGTAGCTGAAGTACATGGCCAGACTGAACTTGACGTTTACACGCGTGATGTGGCATTCGATCTGGCCACTTTCCAGGTACTGGTAACCGGTGATGTTTATTATACAACCGATAACCATCTGCGCCAGCTGCAACGTGGTGATCAGCATCGAGATCCCTTTAGGCGGTCTGTAACGCATCGCTTTCAGGGCGTAGTACGAGTACATCACCGAATGGACAAAATAGTTCATCACGACGAACCATCTCGCGGACGCGGTGTACTCCTTGTACGAGAACCAAGAGTACAGTAGCACCGTTATATGGTGATACCAATGGAGAAAGATCAGTGGTTGTTTTCTCAGAACGATGAAGATCGTATCGCCAAGTTCCGGGAGCTTCGACAACACGAACATCCATGTCCAAAATCCGGACACACAGTCTTGCTCGATGAAGCTGGAAAACAGACAATTTATTCCTATTATAGATTGTCTATAGTCTATAGTGACACAGCGTTAATGGTGAGGACATAGAAACAGGCATCCCAAGTTTAGAAAGAGATAGACAGCTTTTGGATGAGTTGGCATCTCTTTTGACATTTAAATAGTGGGTGGTTAGGTTTTGGGGGTCTGGTGTTTTGAATGGTTAACTCAGCTATATTAGAAATAGATAAGTCCTGTGAAAGTAATCAGTTTCTTTATAAAGTTGGGATGATGGCCCAGCCTGACATGCAGTCTATATTTCTATGTTTATGGGTGAGAAACAGGTTTTGTGACACCATACAGAGGTTGTGTTATTGAGGAAACTCGTTGACATTACTGAGATATTAGAGTATCATGTGTGTTATCGGTACTGAGGATTTAGAGTACACTTCTGACAAATTTGACAAATAATCGCAATTAACACGATACCTTACCGGCTGCTTATTTAATAGGTTTAGCGCTAGAACTACCAACGTTAAATGTGTACTAAATTAAATTGTATAATATAGTAGCTAAAATGTAATAGAATCTAATATAATAGTAAATGTATTCAAAGGTCAATATAAATTCCGCTAAAAACACTATTATAGTATCAGTAATTGTAAAATAAGGAGTCTGCAGACTGTCATTTTGACGAGTTTGGTAGTCCTAGTGTTAGTTGATCCGAGAATTAACAATCAAGGAACTAATCTTAAATAGTTCAATCACAGTAGGTAATAACACTCATGAAAAATAGCAAGAACTCTAATAGAACAACATAACAAACCCTGATCCAAGGGTAAATTAATATTTTCTTCATTGAAATTTGAGTCTATTAACCCTTTGGACTCGACTGTCGCCTCTGAAGCGACAAAATGTATGGAAAATTAGAAATTCCGAGTGCAAAGGGTTAATAGGCCACTGGTCCGTAAAGTGTTAACATATTTGCTGTTGAATCTAAACAGGAGCATACTGGTTTCGCTGATATTTTCTATGTATTTATGGAAGAGGTGCAAGGTATAATTACCTAGGTATACAAATACTATGGTAAAACCCATAATTCCTGAGTACGTGGATCAATTCTGGTGCTGTTCTGGTGAATCCAATGATGGAGAACGTCGCGAGCAACGTGTTCCACAGCGAGAGTATGCCCCTAAGCTCGAACTTTGGCCTGGTCGACATGTAATGCTGTCCACCGAACACCAGAATCATGTAAATGCCGCAGTAATAGAAACCGTTCGTCCAGTTGTTCGTCATCCATATTTTCGTGTCGAGATGACTGAACGTCTCCTCGAAATTGAAGACGTATGAGTAGTTCGGTACAGTGACCTCCATGTAATCCACTTTGTTCATCTTGGAGTGTGTGTTTCTTCTACGCTTCGACCAGGAAAATTGTTGCGGAACAGATTTTTAACGGCTCACCTTCCGGCTGGAAAACAAAATGACGAGACAGGTGTTAGGTACTTACAATGTCTGGAGAATTAACATAATAATTAATTTTTAAAAATAATACTGATTCTACTGTAGTATACTGTCATCTAGTGTAGCATACTGTTATCTAGTGTACTATATGGTCATCTAGTGTACTATATTGTCATTTAGTGTACTATATTGTCATCTAGTGGGCTGTCGAATTTTCGAAGAAATTTTTGTAGTAAAAAAAAATTATTAGACGATGTGCATGACCGTAGTAATAATGTCAAGTAAATGGAAAAAACTCTGTCATCGTTAATATTATTATCTAGATTTCTGTTTCTGCTTTGTGTACACATTCTTTTGTGGCCGAAAAACGTGCTGTATCATCTTACTCTGCATAACGCGGAAATCACAACTTTTTCTTACTCCAGGGACAAAATTTTATTTTAACGGTAATTCAATTATTTTCACGCGAAACTTGTGTTTTATTATCCTCCTTGTGATATGGCTTAAATCTCATAATTCAATATCGCAGTTCTTTCAATTAAATTAAATGATTTTCAAGTTCTATTGGAAAACATAACAATTGATATTTCTCTGTTTATACATGTAATTATTCATTTTATGTTAAAATAACATTAATAATTTATAAAATAACATTTATAGTACTTATGTTCAGGTACATATTAAATAATAAAATTAATGATTAGAAAAATTTATCGATACTGTGTTTCACTTGATTTTACAATAATAGTAATTTGCAATGAAGATTTTTGTAAACTGCATTCCTAGCAATTGACTACTTTCACGTTTCAAAAAAAAATGTTAAAATACTAAGCAAACATTATTATGTTCAAGGCGTATTTAAGGCCATTCATTTCTGCGTTTTATTTCCACAACCTACACGTTCTTACATAAAGAAATTACAATACTATTTTTATCTGTTTTTCCTTCGTTATATTGTCAATGGTCAATATATCTTACGTAAGATAAATGGGTCTACATTACGTTACCCAATCCGCTATTGATCAGGACACGTGACCATTGTTATATTTTATGGGATATGAACATTTCAGCAATAACCAAAACAAAAAATCACGCAAAAATCCATTTTTCCATAAAGCAACGCGACCTACAGTATTTTCATAACACTTGTACGTCTCAATCCCATTTCCCTCTCTATAAGCACGCTATAAAGAAATCATCGGTATTAAAAAAAAAAGTTGAGTTTTCTATATGGACGAAGCTTGATATTTATGCGAAATTATGGTAATAAGACAACCAGTGTGACGTGAAAGTCACCCTGGTCAAACTCTGTATGGTTGTCGCTCAGATGAGCCGGTGTTGCGCAATCCATCGGACATGAATTGACGAACACCGATGGAAATCGAGATTGTATAACCACTTTCATTTGCGATTTACCTACAGCTTTAATTTATAGCCCTCTCAACGTCACACGAGCACTTCTACGCGGGCCGAACGGAAGTCGAAAGAGGTGAACTGCGACCTCCTTATACAATCGTCGACGACCCCGTTTACGCGTTGAACCTCCTAGACACTTGTTCCGCTCCTTACAGCACGGAATTTGCATGCCATCGGAAGAATACAGGTCCGACAATGCAATTAACGTTTATTCGAGGCGAGTTTCAACCACCGTTCCATTGGGCGCAATAATCGAAATTGGCTTGTTTGAAGAACTGAAGAGTTCCTCTGTCTATAAACACGGAGGAATTAGAAGACCATATATTGGTGTCTGTTGATATGGTGTATACTTTCTGGATATTTTTTTATAGAAAGAAGAGGGGAATTTGCTCGATCGAAGAACTGAAGAGTTCCTCTGTCTATAAACACGGAGGAATTAGAGATTCATCTGTATACTTTCTGGATATTTTTTTTGTAAAAAAGAAACTAAAGTATTTATAGTACAGAGGAGATGTCGATTTGTTGAATTAGTATTGAACAAATTTGTTTAAAGTATTCCCCCTATAATGTCGCCCTCATATCATATCATCGCGTTGATATCGCTGGCTGGGACAGAAGCGGGTCGCCAGCCAATGAAAGTGACCGTAAAATTACGTTGATTGCTCTAGTATCTAGAAGACCGCCTACAGGTGTTGGGAATAAAAAAGAATTTCATAAGCCAAAAGAAATTGACGGTCAATGGTGCATCACATGATGCATTGGTCTGTTTTAGGATCGACACTATTTCTTCAGATAGGGCCATTTTTCAGATGCAAACAATTCTGGAGGCACTTATGCCTGGAAACAATTGGTTTCCCTGTGAAACTTGTTACTTTGAATTGAAACTTATAAAAAAGGAAACGCTCATTTAGAGATCGACTGTTTATATATTGAAGGTTTTGTAGAATCTAGGATCTTCATTTGATAAGTGTAGTCGATTTTAGGAAATATTCAATGAGTATAGTCAACTGTAAGAAATATTCGATAAGTGTAGTGACTTGTAGGAAATATTCGATAAGTGTAGTAATTTGTAGGAAATATTCGATAAGTGTAGTCAACTATAGGAAATACTCGATAAGTGTATCCAACGAAGGCAAGCGTGATGACAACCTCTAAAAAGAGGACGTCTAGCCTACTAGGTCAGCTAAGCAGTCATAGATTTTGACTCGTCATCGTTTCATAAAGATAGTAATTGTTGACTGTAAAACATTGGAACGCAGTACAGTTGGTAGACAAGACACAGGCAAGCTCATAAAATTAGCCCTCGAGAAACAGCATCTGTCGCTGTGGCAAGAGCTGACCAGGCCACACGCTGGACCTGCATAGATTTCTAAAGTGAAAGTAAGGGAAACTGAATTTTAGTTCAAGCACTATCAACGACCCTGGACTACCTCGGGGACCATCTCATCTCTAATTTCGTCTCGAAGTGTCAAAGAGACTTCTATGGTTACCTACAAAACACAGGTATAATGACGTCGCTACATCTCGTCCATGAGGTGTCGAAAATCCTGACTTGGCCCAGCTTGAAGCGTTACTAGATCGATAGCTACCTATCAAGGATCATAATCGTGGACTTAATGTTCCAAGCTCTATATCAAGGACCCAATGTTACAAACTCAATATCAAGAACCTAATGTTACAAATTCTATATGAAGGACCTAATGTTACTAGCTCCCTATGTCTTCTCCACCAACTAGAAATTACATTTCTCTTATCATCAGTTCTGAAAATCTTGGAATCTAAGACAGTCCTGAAAGCAACTTTGCTACCTCGGCTATACAAACAGTTTCTTCTCGCTCTTTCACAAACCATCCTCTCCAAACCAAGTCCCTATTGGAGATGTGACCTGGCACGTGCAAGAGTGTAGGTCGTACATGCTACACACTTTAGAAGTAGGACCTTTCTAAAGTGTAGAGGACTTTTCAGAAGTGCAGGACTCTTTCAGAAATGCAGGACACTTTCAGAAGTGCAAAGGACCTTTCAAAAGTAAGGGCACTTTCAGAAATGTTGAAGAACTTTCAAAAGTGCAGGGAGTTTCAGAAGTATAGGACCTTCCAGAAGTATGGGACAAAAGGCTAAAGGCACTATTGGCCCCCATAAAATCTTACAGAACAATCCAAATTACTTGCTCCCTTGCTACATCTAGACCTGTTTCTAGGTTGGACCAATATTTCTTTTTCAGTTTCTTACGCTAGCCTGGTGCAACAGGACTGCGCTAATCCTCTAATTGCTGCCAGTGAGTAACAGTAGACCTCGTACCTTGCTCGAAGGACCCCGTCTGGATCCGTCACGTATACTAATATCTTCACGTGAAATTCCCAGAACGTGTACTGTTCAAATTACAGCCGTCCCGCGTAATTTCTGTGGAAAATCGTGGAAAAATATTTGCCCAATTGTTAGTGTGCGCGCACGAAGGACTTCTAACGAGTGGGTCACGTGATACTCTCTTCTCATTTAAAAACTTCCTTCCCCGATCTGTTCGCTAATTACTCATCGTAATTTATACATGATTTCTGGGAGATTTCATTGTCGCAAGGATAATTTGCATAACCTGTGACGCAAGATCATAAAGTATAGGAAAAAAAAAACAAGAATATCAAAGCAGACACGGAATCCAGGAGCCAGAGCGTTTAATTCACATTCTGTATGCCATCTGTTCTTGTTCTCCTTTGTTCGTTACGCAGTTGAAAACGCATTTAAACTAATTTTTTTCCCCGTTATATTTTCGTGCAATACATTCCTCTCCACTTCCACCTCGTTGACCTTTATAATCATACGCTCGAAATACGTTCGATGTCGCCATTTTGTTTGGAAATGGCGCCAATATTAACGTTAATATAAGTATCAGGTATTAAAATACGCAAAAATATCGGTATTTATATTGTACTACATTATTTATTTCGTATTTTCCTTGGAAATGGAAATATTTCGCGTTTCGCATGTTCGGTGCCGCCATTTTGTTTGGACACCGCGCCGAATTTCCAGCATCTGAATAAACGTAAACAATAACTTGTTAATTGAGCATTAAAATACGTAAATACATCTGTATTTATATCGTATTCGATTATTTATTTCACAATGGAAATACCCCACATTTTACATGTCGCCATTTTGTTTCGAACCGGTGCGTCACAAACCGCAACGGATTCCCAATATTTTCTTAAATATGAAACGTTTAACCTTTACATTAGGCATTAAAAAGACGAATATGCGTACATTTATATCGTATTTAATGATTTCTTTCCCTTCTTACTCTTATTGGCCCTCACACCTCATTGGTGAATACGGGCCCACGTGATCGCGCGGAATGTTCCGGAATACAAGAATTTGGTTAACCCATGTGATCGATATTTATTTTCCGTTTTCAGTGATCGAAACTCGAAATTTAATTTACAAAGTGGTAGGAGTTGTACTTTTATTTTCATTCCGCGCCGTGTGTCTGGCTCGATGTTTTGGCTGAATCTGTAATCTTCGAATCACACCGATAAAAATCGAGCAGGCGTTGGATTAGAACGATCAGGGTCGATTTCAAGTGGTTGAAACCATAGATTT